TTTTGGTGGCCTCATATTTGCATATGATGAGTGACACATTTAATTGGATAGTCGGGAACAACTGGTTATTTTACAAATGAAAGGGCTTCGAGAATACTTCAAAGAACACACAATGAGTCCTCAATGCAATGCAAAACAGGTCATCAAAACACACAACGAATGTTAATAGCAATATGTTTTACCATAATCATTTACCAAAAGGCAGGATGGCTCGACCCCAACCAGCTGCAGACACATTTTATGGCACCTTCAGTGGGAAATTAAGAAATTATTTGACAAAAAGAAAACATTGATAAAGTCTGTACACACACACAGGGCTAGTTCTTTGAGAATTGAAAATTCTGACATAATTTACTCACCCTCACGTCATTGCAAACCTGTAAGACGTTATTTCTTCCTTAGAACATAAAAGGTGGTATATAAAGCACTGTAAAAGTGGTCCACATTTGTGTTCCACAGAAGAAAAAAAATAACATGGGTTTTGAACAACATGAGTTGAATCGTCATTTTTGGTGGAACTATCCCTTTAAATTACATTCATACCTAAGCAAACATCATGCATTCCCAAATATCCGCTTCCTCTCAGTTTTTGCCAGCGAGTTAACATTCATCACGCTTGACATTTGGGCATGGTCCCCCTTGACATGCACCAGGAGTCAGATGGCCACACTTTTGCCCAAAAGTTCAATGTGAATATCCATTTTAATTGATTCAGCAGATTCCAGAGAAATGTTTCTCATTCCCGTGTGAGAACGACACTAATCCCACTGCAGCACTTGGCTATGCTTTGGAAGAAGGGTAGGATGATTATGTCTAAAACGCTGCTCCATAAAGTTTGCAACCACCCGGTGTTAATCAAGACAACCTGCACAAATGGCGTAAAGAACCTGAAACAAAGAAAAAGGTGAAAGCTTAGCATTTCTTTTAAAAATCTGATACAATTTATCTACTACTAAAAATGCCACGGTCATGGATTCGATTCAAAGGATCTACTCGTACCAGATGTGAACAAAGCTGAGGACGGCGAAGAGAATCCCAGCGAGGAGGGACACTGGAACAGCCAGCAGAGCAGTGATGATACGATAAAACCAGGCCCTGGACACCTCGAAAAGAGCGTGACTCCAGATCCACACCCGATCCCCACTGCGCACCGACACCGGCTCTGCTATCACATCCTCAAAACTAACCTGTCGAAACAGAACATTCAGAAAATTAGCATCGCCTGCCCTAATCTGCTTTAAAACAAATACAGCTTGAACAATGCCCCTAGGCAGCTATTTTAGTCAGTATAAACACTATATTCAAATACCTTTTTAATGAA